CGCTTGCGGGGAGGGCTGTTCAAGGGCCGCAGGCTGCTGACCCCACAGTGTGGGTGCCGAGGCACTATTACAGAGGGGCTTACTCACTTCTCCACAGCTCGCAAAAAGACACCTCCCCAAAGCCAAAAACAGAAGATAACTCACTCTCTGGGATATGCCAACCCCCAGAGTACAAACAACCTTCCTAAGCATTCTCACCCTCCAGTGACTCAAATCACAATAGCTGTGCGCACTGTCGGCTCCCTCTCCGCAAATCACTAACACCCTCCAGACCCCGCTCCTGAGCCTGGTGGCCAAGTGGAAATCCGTCACAGCTGGAAAGACCATCCATAGTCCGCCCCTACCCCTCACTCAAGCCGCCCGCATCCCTGGCACTGTTCCCACCTCTCCTGGGACCCTCATTACATACATCAGGCCACGTGACAGTGTCCCCTGGCTCTCGGATGTTCTGTCTTTTTTTTTAATTCCTTTTTTTTCCCTTTGTGTTTCAGTTTGTTTCATTGCTATTGAGCACCTCCAGGTTCGCGGAACATGCCCAAAGCTGTTTCCCCTGATGTTAAGGGGTTTCCTCGTTGTTAGTGCTGCTTACGTCTAGAAGTCCCATCTGACCCTTTGGCTCTCATTGGAGTCTGATGCTGTTTATTGCTTTGCTCTCGACCATGGAGTTATTTCCTGCTTTCCTGTGGGTTTGATAATTTTTTCATTTGAAAGCTGGGTATCGTGCATAAAACAGAGATGGAAATAAATAGTTTTATGCCTGGGTTTGCGCGCATCCCTTCTGCTGGGCCCTGTGGGGAGCTGAGCCCATCTAGAGTGGACAGGCCGGTCACCCAGGGCACTGCAGAGCAACACAGCTAACAGGTCCCGGTGTTACTGTGCGCCCAGCATGGAGTCCAGGCAGCTAAAGCGTTTTCTCAATTTTCTGGTCTTTCTAGTGCTTCATGGAACGACCCCACTGGCAGGCCGATGTCGCTTGTCACTGATGGTCCTGTTAGCCCCTGGGGTAATGTGGGGAGTTCTTGGATGTCCAGGAGGGATGTGAGCTTTGATCTTAAGCAGGCCCTTCATGCCAAGGCCTTGTGGGAGGGCCTTTCTCAGCACACCTGCCACTTCTCGTATCTGTGGTTGGTCTTGGGGGGAAGTTTGCTGTGCCTTCCCAGAAGTAGTTGTGGTATCCATATGGATCCAAGCCCTCTCACTGCTCCTTCCTCAAGGGCAGAAGGTTAATGCTTCAACCCTCTGCAGCCGTATGTCTCTGCCTGTGACCAGGGAGAAAGGGTTGGGTGTCTCTCCTCCAGTAAGTTGAGGCTTTTGCCTGCGGGAGGGAAGGGCCTGGGCAGTGGGGTCAGCACCCATCTCAAGGTCACAGCCAATTTCCCACTGCCAGCCTGCTCCACAGACGGGGCTGCTTCTGGCCCCCTGGCTTGCTCCCTGTCTTTCTTGTGAACTACTGGAGGCTGCAAGTTGATGTGCGCCCCACCTGATACACTGGCCCTCACTGGATCTCCAGCATTTTGTGAATATTTTAGCTGATTTCTTCTGGAATGTACAGCACATGCCCCTTCTTCCTGTCCTCTGCCTACATGAGCCGGGGGTACATGCCCCACCTCTCCCTTTAAGGGCCTGCCCCTCCTGGGTATTTGGTTTCTAGTTTGCCTCGCAAAGTCAGCTAAGTTCAAGGAAAGTTAGGATTTTGTAGTTTGTCGGGCTTTTTTCCCCCCTCATTGGTGGGGATGGAGCAGAGTTCCTCCATCCCAGGCAGAAGCAGCAACTACCTCTTGGACACTCTGTTCTCCTCCAATCCATTCCCTACACTACCCAGAGGAATAAGTCGAGTCTGGTAATACACATCTCACGTTCAATCCTTTTGGTGGCTTCCTGCCCCTCTTAGGATGGCCAAAATCCCTTAGGAGGCCTAGATGTGGCCCCTGCCTATCTCCTCCACTTGAATTTCTCCCAATTCCTTCTTTGCTCTCAGAACGGCAGCCGTGCCTGTGTTCATTCTATCCCCTCTTTCCATTGCCTCTCTCCCTTTGCCAACCTTGTCCCTATTCATTTGGATCTCAGAGCCCACTCCATTTCCCCAGGGAGACCTTGCTTGGTATCCCTCCCCTTGTCATGCTCCCGGATCACCCTGATCCTGGCCGCACTTGATGCCTCTCTCTAGTCGCGTCCCAGCCAAGTGCCTAAGCTGCCAAAAAGACTGTTTGTTTATCTGCATGTCCCCAGTGGTGAACCCAACAGCCAGCACCCCGCTCGGGACATGCGAACTGCTGTTGTTGTGACCACTGGGAACAGGTGGAACCAACTCAGGGCCCTGCTTGCGTGAGTCTGCTTTTGTTCTGCACCTGACAACCGTCTGCTAACCATGGAGAGTTGGAAAATAGATCGACATTTCTGGGGAACAACAGCTCAAGGTACTGGTTGATACTGGCCTCACCCTGAGTGGAACTGGGTGCCCAGGCACCATTGTGCTGTCCCCCTGCATTGTTCTAGAAGTCAGATGACATTGGTACTGACAGGTGCAGGTATCACTGGTTAAAAAAAAAAAAGAAAGAAAGAAAGAAAGAAAGAAAGAAAGAAAGAAAGAAAGAAAGAGAAAGAAAGAAAGGAAGGAAGGAAGGAAAAGAAAAAGAAGAAGTCTGTATTGCTGGAAATAGCAAAAGGGGAGGACGCACCACATTTCATTTAAGTGAACTTATCCTGGAGAGGCTCCAAGGTGCTGCATATGGAAAGTTATTCACCAGCTCTATTCGATTTACTGTTTTGATACCCCATGTGAGGCTGTTCCTTCTTGCTATTCAACATGTTTTGTTGGATCTAAACATGTAGCAGAGGTGAAATTGTTTTGATGGTTTGGGGTATTTTGAGAAATTTGTTTGATGATTTCCAGCTAATATTGACTAGCCATTACTGCAACAAGTAGAAATTTGGCCCAGGTTTTACTTAGCCTAAGTGCAGAGAGGTCAGTCATGTGGGAAGTGAGAGACTGCAGCTAATATCACTGTGTCCTGATGGGTCTTAGAGAAATGAAAAATACAGAACACACAGAACATGAGACCTCTGCAGTAACTCTACCCCCGGGTGTCAGCTTTAGAGAAACAGTATCTGGAAATAGATCTCTTGTTAGTGGGGGTAAGCATCATTTGTTGTTAAATGTAATTTTATTTTTAGCCTGGAAAGAGTAACTTGTGGAAGTTTTGATGTTCACACACTCCCAGGAAATCACTTTTATCTTATGGAAACTTCCGATGAGACCTTCATCAAGACCTATGTAACCAAGGGTCTAGAACTACTGACACTTGCCTATTTTTAGAGATTTTTTTCCTTTTAGTTTGAAGAGAGTCCAAAGTGTTTATATGATACTCTTCTTAATTTTTCCATAGTTCATTGGTTTTTTTCAGAGGTTGGGAAATTACACATTCTCTACTACCGGGCTGATGGGTGACACATAAATGTATTTCTTCACAGAGAGCTTATGGTTCTGGAGATAGTAGACAAAGGGGTAAAGAATACTTCTGGCAGGGTCCTTTATTTTCCTATCAGAATCTCATTTGGATCTTATCTGTGGGAGGTAAATTATCCATTTTCCCCCTTCAATTATTTCAACAGTGAAATGAGAGGGAAAATGCTAGAAAACAAATTGTTCCATCAGCACACGATGGTAAAATCTTGGTCCAATCTTGTGAAATGTAGGGATATCCATTTTGGTGGGGGACACATCGCATTTAATGAGAAAATGTAACCTACTGCTTTATTAAAATAATATAGTCCTGAGTGATCACTGATGCCTCTCCTGAGTAGGTAAGTCCTCAGAATGCTTGTAAACCTGGGCCCCCTCCTGCACTGAGTGCCTGCGGGCTCTGTGGACGCAGCTGCTGCCCCAGCAGTGACTGACTAGGGCCACTGGGAGTCCTGCCGAGGACAACCAGTCTGGTGTCTGGTCCCTGGCATAAGGAAGGCCAAGCACAAAGGCCATGCCGACAGGCTGTCTCCGTCTTGCTCTGTGATAGTTTGGGGTTGACATAAGGAGAAAGCAGAACAATGGGGAAAAACAGGAGCTCAAAGGGAAAAAAAGCAGAAATTGGGAAAATTTGCTGAGTCCATATAAGGCAAAACACTACAAATGGGATTCACAGTCACTAGTCGATAGGAATGAAGGGGCACTGCCCCCTTGCTGCTGCCTGGCTCCTGCAGTCTCTGGTGAGTTCCAGACTCATCCCGGCTGTTCATTCAGATACGCGGATTTCCTATGTCTTGTGGATCTTCACAGTAAATTCCACTACTTGCTGTCACTGATGTCTCTTCCTCAAGGCTTAAAGTACTTAACACAGCAATATATATTGTTAAATTTTAAAACATCCATTTGTTTATGGTCACATAATACGGATTCATGTTTGTGTTAAGATTTTAAAATCATATTCATAGAATCTTAATAAATAAGATTGAGCAAAATGCATAAGGGACATGTTTTGCAGAATTTATCATTATTTTCTAACAAAGGGCAAGTCATATGAAGAATTCATTGCAGAAGGGGTTAGGATTCATGCAATCGACTTGGGCTATAAATAGGCTGAAGTAAATTATGATACATGTTTAGTACCTGCTGTGGCTTACCCTTTGGTGTGACACCATTTCCAGCACTCCCTTATGGAAGGATTGGCACAAAAATAATTTGATTTTGATTATTCAATTGAAAAGTTTTTAGTTAATATGGTCCACAATGGGAATCACATGATGTACCCAATGCCAGGCTTTTTGCCTGGGCCTTCTCACCTGCCTCTCCACCTGGTAGAGGTGAGGTCCATGTGGGAAGAGTTCTGAGAGTTTCCAAGCCCTCCATTGGAAGGAGCAGCCCTATCATTGCTGATGTCTCCCTTTTCTTGCATTTGGATGTTGACTCCATCATGGCAGACTCCGGATAATCTTCGGGTAAGACTTAGTAGAGATGAGAACCATCTTTACTTTCTAAAATTTTCCAGAATAGGAATCAAGCTAGATTTGTTTTTCATGAAACTTTTTATTTGGAGATAACCGTAGATTCACATTTTGTTGTGAGAAATAATATAGAACTACCCAGTTTCCCCCAATGGTAATTTGTGCAAAACCCCAGTGTAATGTAACAGCCAGATGTTCCCAGTGACACAGTCAAGCGACAGAACATTCCATCCACACAGGATCCCTCCTGCTGAGGTTTCAAGTCACTCCTACCTCCCTATTCTGCCCTCTGTGGTAATCACTATTCTGTTCTCTATGTCTGTAACTTTGCCATTTCAAGAAAGTTACATAAATTACCCTGCACAATGTTTTGGGACTGGCTTTTTTCACACAGAATAATTCCCTGGAAATTCATCTAGTCAATATAGATATATTTTTTTTAAGTCACATGAAATCAATCTATCCCTCTCTGGTCACAGCATACCAAACCCAAACCCTTATCCAGGGAATAGAAGTACACTGTTTTTTAGGATATTTACCCTATGCGATCTCAAACAGATTTTAGACGTGCTAAAACAAGACTATGTTCTTTCAGGGAACCTGTGTGCAGCAAGAAAGACTGAGGACTAGGCCACTATGATATTCCAGACTCTGCATTTTCACTCCGATAAAAATGAATGTAAGAGGCACAGTAGTTGAACGTTTTATTGTCACTAGATACTACATTTGATTTTTCTGTCTTAAATGTAAAAATTTAAAGAAAAATAATGGGTGGATGGCTTTTTTCTTTCTTTGAATAGTCATGGACTCATAAGTTTATTTTTTAAAAATTTTAGTTTATTTGTTGTTAGGTTTTATATAATGTATGCTTTAAATTGAAGGTAGGATCATTAGAGTTACCTCAATTACCAATTCTCAGTTACCTCAAGAATCATTCAATTCTTCCAACCCTGTGAGACTGATTTTTCCCTCTACTCTATAGATGAGGTTTAGCAAGCTGAAGTAATTTGTTTCTGGTCACCTAGTAAAGAATTACAGAGTATGGAATGAAACCAGGTATGTTTATGATTTCCAAGTCCCCAAGTCAGTGAGAATCCCAGAGCTACATGTACAACAAAGGAAGAAACTTGTTATTGGTTCTTAGTAAACTGTTTTGATCACATACCAATAATACTAACTCAATGTAGAAAAACAGATAAGCCAAAAAATATTGTTAATGTTTTTGTGACATACTACCAGAGCAATACTTTTTTTTAAAAGAACTTTTAAAATCATCTGGTTTTAGCAAGTAAAACTTCATTAAATAGTTTCAGCATACCTCTAATTAAGGATTACAATTCATGTTAAGAGCAAATATATTCGTGACATGTAGAGTTAACGGTGCATTTCTTCCCTAGATATAGGACATGATAACATTATGAAGACCTCAAAAGAAAAACCTTCTCATAGCTGAATTTTAAATTCCATATTTTTCTATCAGCTCTTTTGCTTTAGATACATAGGCACTCATGGCATCTTCCTTCGACTGCCCTAGAAAGACACAAAACAGATTATCTCACGGACTGATGTACTGGGAAATTAAGAAAGTTTACTTCACTTATTTAAGAATTAACAACCTTTTTGGAGGTTCCATGCTTCCCATTTAGCCTTGCCTTTTAAATCTAACATTCCTGGACACTCTGCCGAAAGAAGAATAGATATATTTTCAAGTTTATTTTTACTCGCTGCTTCTATAAACATTGCTCAAATGAAATGTATTATTTTTTAAAATATGATTTTAAAAATATTGCTAACATATATACACAACATACACACACACACACACACACATATACAATACCAATATTAATGTCTCCAACTATAGATTGTTTGTAGAGCCCATAGAGTTCTTTTAGTTCTTCATCATCTGGTCTTGTTTTCAGCTTCCTCACATCTTTTGTGATCCTATCAAAATCAGCCTAGAACACAAAAGGAAGAAAAGGCCAATGGTGCCTTTACTAACTTTCAGCAGGCTTATCTATTTTGCAGGTATTTTACCACCAGACAGTAGGAACTTAAAAAGAAAGAGGAAGGTTTCAAACAGAGCTATTAATGGTCTAGTTCTTCCAGAATTATCCTAATTTATTTTAATTTATGGATACCTCTCCTGGTACTTACCTGATATTCAGACAAGATATGGAGAACCACATAAAACCGTTACTAGTGAAAATTCCTTTTTTTTTTTTTTTTTTAAAGTAGGCTCCATGCCCAGCATGGAACCCAGTGCAGGGCTTGAGCTCACAACCCTGAGATCAAGACCTGGGCTGAGATCAAGAGCTGGATGCTTACCTGACTGAGCCACCCAGGTGCCCTAATACTGAAAATTCTTAATTTAAAAAAAAAATTAAATTTTTAAAATTTAAAAATTTTAAATTTTATTTAATAAATTAAATTAAATTTTAATAAAATTTAAATTTTTAAAATTTTTCAGAAAATTTTAAAAACTAAAGAAGACATAAATAAATGAAAAATACTCTATGCTCATGGACTGGAAGAAATATTATTGTTTAAATGTCAATACTACCAAAAGCAATATACAGATTCATGGCAATCAATCCGTATCAACATTCCAATGGCATATTTTACAGAAGTCAAGAAAACAACCTTAAAGTTCATACAGAACCACAAAAGACCTGAACAAACAAAACAATCTTTTTTTTTTTTAAGATTTTATTTTATTTATTTATTTGACAGAGAGAGAGAGATCACAAATACGCAGAGAGGCAGGCAGAGAGAGAAGGGGAAGCAGGGGAAGCACTGAGCAGAGAGCCCAATGCGGGACTTGATCCCAGGACCCTGAGATCATGACCTGAGCCTAAGGCAGAAGCTTAACCCACTGAGCCATCCAGGCACCCCCAAACAAAACAATCTTGAGAAAAGATAACAAAGCTGGAGTCATGATATGTCCTGATTTCCAGCTATATTACAGAGCTATAGTAATCAAAAGGGTATGGTATTGGCCTAAAAACAAATGGATCAATGAAACAGAATAGAGAGCCCAGAAATAAAAGCATGCATATATGGTCGATTAATTTATGACAAAGGAGCCAAGAACATAGAATGTGGAAAGGTGAGTCTCTTCAACAAATGGTGTGTGACCTGACAGTCATATACAAAAGACTGAAACTGGACCACTGTCTGACACTGCGCACAAAAACCAACTCAAATGATTTAATGTCAGGTCAAGTAAGACCTTTTGTTTAGATCTTACTTGAATGTAAGACATAAGTCCACAAAACTCTTCAATAGAAAACAGACGGGGTTAAAAAAAAAAAGAAAGAAAGAAAGAAAGAAAGAAAGAAGACAGAGGGGGTAAACTCCTGGACACTGGTCTGAGCAACGATTGTTTGGATCTGACACCAAGAGCAAAGGCAACAAAACAAAAACAAAAATAAAGACGTGAGACTCCATTAAACTAGAAAACTTCTGTACAGTAAAGAAAACCATCAACAAAATGAAAAGGCAACCTATGGAATGGGAGAAAATATTTGCAAATCATTTATCTTTAAAAAGAAGTGGTTAATATCCTAAATATATAAAGAGCTTATACCACTCAATAGCAAAAAGAGAAATTCAATTAAAAATGGGCAAAGGAAGGAAATAGACATTTTTCCAAAGACATATAAATGGAGGGGTCTGATGCTGCATGGGTCATGGTGCAGCTCCAGCCTTGTACATCCCACACCCCTGCATCAATGATGGTGGAGGAGGGCCAGCATGCCTGGGGGGGGTGTGCGGGGGAGGAAGGCAGAGAACCACGGGGAGGGGAGGGAGGAGGTAGGGGGAGGAGGCAAGGGGAACACCACCTGGGGAAGGGGAAGGGGGCACAGTGCCACCTGTGGGGAGGAGGAGGAGCAAAACTTGCCTGGGTGGGCCTTGCCTGGGTGGGGTTGGGGGGGGTACAGGGAGGAGAAGGCGGAGCACCACCTGTTGGTCCAGCAGCCTAGTAAAGCCTGTTGGGGAGGAGCTGACTGATCAGCACCCAGGAAGAAGCACAAAGGGGAGGAACAGGTTGGAGATAAAGCACTCCTGAAGAAGATGAGCTGTTCATCCAACAAAAAAACTTCCAGGTTAGACTCTTGAGAAGTTAACTACAGCTGGACAGACTAACATAAGGACATCATCAGAAAAGTTGAAAGAAATTCATTTGCAGAAGAAAAATGAAGGGTGTGAAAAAGGAAGTGATTCCAAGAAAGCTGAAAAAGTACAAAAAGTACAGTCTATGGGCCAGATTAAAAGCCACTTACTTGGCTCTAAGGCTAGAAGATCAAGATCTGAGAGATTCAAGGCAATAAGCAGCAAAAGGCTTTAGAGAAAATTTTTTACATGGTCCCAGAACCAACAAAACTACTATAAATAAGGCCCTGTGCCTTGAAAATAAGAGGTTACCAGGGAAAAGGGCTGCCACCCAGTTTTTGAGTAATCCGTGGGGAGCCCAGAAAAAAACAAAACGCCAAGAGGTTTAAAGACAGTGGCTGGTCAGAAACATGAAAACTTCTAAGAAGTAAATCCAAGCTAAATGAAAAATGAAAACTTGTATGTATAGAGCTTATTCATTATAAAGAATTAGTTTTTCTAAAAAAAAATCCAATAAATCATTTATAAATTAAAATAAATAAATAAAGACATACAAATGCCATGTGATTCAGCAATCCCACCTCTGGGTATATACCCAAAAGAAGCAAAACCCCTATGTCACAGTGATGCTGCCACACCCCCAACCCCGTGTTCACTGCATCATTGTTTACAACAGTTAAGGAATGGACATTACAACCTAAGTGCCTGATGATGGATGGATGGACACACACACACACACACACACACATAATGGAATATTGTTCAGTCGTAAAAATGAGGGAGATCCTGCCATTTGTAGCAACATGGATGGACCTTGGGAGCATTACGTGAGATGCGTGAGTCACAGAGACAAATACTGTAGGACCTCACTTACATGTGGAATCTTAAATAACTAAACTTAGAAAAACAGAGGACAGATTGGCAGTTGCAAGGGGGAGGTGAAGGGTGAGGGAAGTGCGTGAATACGGTCAAGAGGTGGAGAAAACAAATCTATCAAGAGAAATTTCAATACATGTTTCTTTTTATTTTTTTTAAAGATTTATTGATTTATTTGGGTGGGGGAGCAGAGGGGGAGAGAATACCAAGCAGACACCCTGTGAAGCGTGGAGCCCAACGAGGGGCTGGATCCCACAACCTGGAGATCCTACAACCTGAGCAGAAACCAAGAGTCAGATGCTCAACTGACTGAGCCACGCAGGCAACTACATCACAGTCTAAGAAGGGGGAAGGTTTGGATTTGAACCTGGCGGGCTCTGGAGTATGTGCCTTTAGTCACCATAACATACTTCTTGAAGAATCCTTAAAGGTGGGGGTGAGGGTTGTCCCTGGGTGACTGAGTGGGTAAAGACCCCAACTTTTGATTTTGGCTCAGGTAGTGATCTCAGGGTCCTGGGACCCAGCCCCATCTGGGGCTCCATGCTGGGTGTAGAGCCTACTTGAGGATTCTCTCTCTCTGTCCCTCCCCCTTCACCCTCTAAAATAAACTTAAATCTTAAAAAAAAAAAAAAAAAAAGGAATCCTTATTCCGTGAAATTGTATCCAGATATTTTTTTTTCAAATTTTTAGAAGATTATTTAATGATGAAAAATTTTAGAAGATTATTTAATAATATAGTCACAGGTACAGGAATAAAACTGTATATACTTGAGTATAATTGAATCAGTGTGTGTGTGTATATACACACATAAACACATGTGTGTACATACCCGTGCAAGTGCAAGTACATACAAGCACATACACACACACACACACATTTTTCACAGTACAAGAAAGTAATCCCTCATGCTAGCAGTGGTTATCACCTGCGTGAAGGAATTCCTAATAGTTTTCACTTATTTTATATTTGCTCTTTCCCCAAATTTCCTACCCTGAACATGTATTTTTTCGTATATTGGCAAAACTACTATTTTGTAGTTTTACAGATCTCCGCTGTTCAGAAAAACACTTGTCTCACCAAGGAGCGAGGGGGCGCGGCCCTCGCCTCCCTTTCGCAGACGGAAGGGGCAGGCGGAGCAGGGCCGCCTGGTCCTCCGGAAACAAGCCGACCTCCGCCAACAAGCCGACCTCCGCCCTCCCGGGGGCAGCTTTATTTCGCTAGTAACGGATCCCCGGGGTTCGCAAGTGTTGCCATGGGGAGCCCCAGGTCGCCGTCAACAGATGGCACAGGTGTGGTCCCCACTGCAATGAGCGGGCGCTCGCGATGGGGGTGGGAGTGTCCCCGGGGTCACTCCGTACAATTCCCGGCGGAGGGGGGGTGGGGGAGAAACTCGGGGCGCGAGGACTGCGGGCGACAGCTGTCCCAAGCTCAGTTCTGACTTGCCCGCCACCCATGGGCGTCACGCCTGCCCCATGCCCACTCGAGCTCTTCCCTCTGAGGACGAAGCCCACTCGTGGGGCTTCCGCACCCTTCGACTCACCTGCAAAGACATGGTGACACCTACTCAGCTACAGCCGCACTCCGGAGGCGCGGGTCCCCGGAGCCCGTGCGGCGGCCGTCCTTAAATGGAAGCGCGCCTCCGCCCGCCGTCTCCCACTGGCTGCGCTGTGGGCCCGGCCAGCTCCCATTGGCCACCATTACTGGGGGGCGGGGATAAGCGGTGAGTGGCACCTGCCCTGACCCCAGCGCCCGCCCACGCGTCCCAAGCCGCGCAGAGGGTAGTCTGCAGCCAGCGCCGCTGCAACTGGAAAAGCGAGGAGCCGGGAATTTTTTCTTCTTTTTTTTGTTTTTTAAAGATTTTTTTTTTTTTTTTTTTGACAGATCACAAGTAGGCAGAGAGGCAGGCAGAGAGAGACAGGAGGAGGCAGGCTCCCCGCCTAGAAGAGAGCCCGAAGCGGGACTCGATCCCAGGACCCCGAGACCATGACCCGAGCCGAAGGCAGAGGCCCCAACCACTGAGCCACCCAGGCGCCCCAGGAGCAGGGAATTTAAATGAGTTCCTCTCCGCTCTTGGCTCGTTCCCCAGTTCTTTCTCAAGAGGTGGTTTGCAAGAAATCCACAGAAATCTCCCTAGGGCACGGATCTCAGTGGGAATTCCTTTTTGTATGTATATCCCTCTGCCCTCTCCTTAATTCCTAGAAACGTGGATGGCAGGTTTTTGAGACCTCTCAAGTCTCCTCTCATACTTCTAGGCACACTTCATCAGGAGTGAAAAAGGCATCTTCTCTTTAAAAAGCAAAACACACCCTGAACATGCGCTGCAAACCACCCTGACTGGTTCTCGGTTATTGTAAAGACACAGAAGTGCGCACTATTCAATCTGACCCCATTCTCCCGGGCAACAAATCCAGTGTCCCTGCAAGTCTGCTGAAACACAGAAGGGGGTTGTGGTGCACACTTGATTAAGTTCTCAAAGCACTGGAACAGCATTTTCTGGTCAAAGGAGTTCATTTCCGACTCTTTCAAGAAAAAAACCTTCTTGGAGCGAAATGACTGGAAGACCTGACAAATTCAGGGTTTAGAGAGTTACTGATCGGAAACGTCTAACATATAACAACGCAAGGGGTGGAGAAGAAAGGCTCCCAAACATTTTAGCTTGTTTTTGCATAGATCTACATTTTAAAAATATTTGCTTGGGGCGCCTATGTGGCTCAGTTGGCTAAGTATCTGCCTTCAGTTCAGGTCATGATCCCAGAGTCCTGGGATGGAGTCCCACGTAGAGGGTCCCTGCTCAGTGGGGAGTCTGCTTCTCCCGGTCCTCCCTGTGTTCTCTCTTTCTTTCTCTCAGATAAATAAACAAAATCTTTAAAAAATATATTTGCTTTACCTCTTCATGCAAATCCTTTGGTTTTTAAATTTTCTCCTCCAAAATACTTTCATGGTGTAATCAATGAATTTCCAAGTAAAAGACAGAAAGCGAATGTTAGCAAAACGTACTGGCCAGGATTTTTGGTTTTTCATTTTTAAACTTGCAGGTGATGGGACAGACACTGTGGGGGTACAAAGGCAAACGGCAACTTCAGAACAGTGAGTGCTTTCTCTGCTGAGGAAGCCCTAGCAGTGTTTCAGTAGGGAAATACTGGGGGTGAACTCCAGTATCCGTGTGCGTCAAGAGCTGAGACATCTGGGCCTTGTAGTCATTATAAGAAATCAGGAAAAGGGAAAAGGGAAGTCATACTGTGCTCTGTTTTATTTTCTAAGTCTAGAATGTTCTTCTCAGAACTTTTTCAAAGCATGCTCTTCTCTTGAGATGCCCTCCTCTGAACAGAAGCTAGAGCCATGGTGTCTTGTTCCCCAGAACAAAAAGAAAGAAAAGACAATGGAAATATTGATGTCTTCTGCCCAGTGATAATATACTAGGTACAGTAAAAACTCAGCTTTCCTTAGGGAGTGAGTCAATTTGGGCAATCAAGTTCCTTTTTTTTTCCTTTTTACTATTTATTTAATATTGATTATAATCCAATATACATACATCCATATATATATGTAAAATTCTAAAACTAAAGGGCATGTTTATGAACCTACCACCAGTTTAAGACATAGAATATTACCTTTACCTTTGTGACTCTCCTGATTTCATCCCATCCTATCTTCCTCATTCATTCTTTCATTCATTGAAATAGTTATTGAGTGCCTAATATGAGCAAGGCAGTGCTCATTCTTGAAAAACATTAGGGAACAGAACAAACAAGATCCTTCTCCTCACATTACATTCTGGTTGGGGATTACAGACAATAACACATATAATAAGCAAATTATATCGTCTATTAAAAGATATGCTGTAATAAGTGCTATTTTTAAAAAGAGCAGAGCAAAAGAGACAGGATGTCTTGGATCTGTGAGATGGAAGAGATGACATGCAATGGTAAATAGGGTAGTCAGATTGGTGTCTTTGAGAAGATGACATTTGATTAAAAGCTTGAAGGAGGGTAAAAGAGCTGACCCTAAGAACTTCCCTTTCAAAGGCAGCCTCCTCTACAAAGGCCCTAAGAATGAGCTTCCACAGCAGATGTGAAGAACAGTAAGGGGCCAGAGTGGCCAGAGCAGAATAGAAGAGGTCAGAGAACAGAAGATGGAGACCAGATTGTATATAGCCTCACACAAAGGCATTTGGTGTTAAGTGGGAGTGAAACAGAACCCTTGAAGAGTTTTGAGTAAGATCTGACACGATATGACTTAGTTTTTAAAAGGATCATTCTGGGGAATGCCTGGGTAGCACAGTGGGTTAAGTGACCAACTCTTGGTTTCAGTTCAGGTCGTGATCTCCAGCGGTGGGACTGAGCCCCACATCAGGCTCAGTGCCAAGCCTGCTTGAGACTCTCTGCCCCTCTCCCTCTGCCCTCCACCCTTCACTGCACTCTCTCTCTCTCAAATAAATAAATAAATAAATAAATAAATCTTTAAAAAAATCACTCTTGTTGCTGTGTTGAAAATAGACTATAGGGGAACAAGGCTGGCAGCAAAATACTTACTATAATTAGAATCCAGAGAACTTATGGGTGTCTCACACTCAGGTGGTAGTGGGGGAGGGTAGCTAGTGAGAAGTATTTCAGATCCCGGATATATTTTGAAGTTAGAGTCAACGATAGTCCCCAGTAGATTCTACATGGGTGTGAGGGAAAGAGACGAGTCAGGATAATTCCAATATTGTGGGCCTGAGTAACTGGAAGGCCCACTGGTGGAGGAGGTTTGGTGAGGAGCAAAGATCAGAAGTTTTGTTTTGGACATGCTACTGTTGAGACATCAGACATCTAAGTGCAGATGTCAAATAGGCAGATGGATATCAAGTCTAATCCGGGCTGGGCATCTAGAGGTGGGACTCATGAACACAGAGATAGTATTTAGATCCTTCAGACTGGATGACCCTAAAAACTGAATGGATAAAGAGGAAGAAAGAGAAGAGGACTGAAGACTGAGCCATGGGAGTTTGCAACATTGCAACACTTCAAAGAGCTTGGAAAGAAGAGGAAGAATGAGCGTATGAGACAGAGAAGAAGTGGTCTTTGGGTGAGAGAAAAACCAAAAGAATATAGTATGCAGAAGTATATCAAATGAGAAAGCATGACAGGTTAGACGTGGACTGAGAATTATCAATTGGATTTTCATCTTTGTCAAGATCACAGATGACACTGACAGAAGTTTCAATACAATGGTGGGGGGTGAAGGCTGATTAGAGTGGGTTTCAGAAAACACGAGGGGCAATTTTTGTTTGTTTGTTTAATATTTTATTTATTTATTTGTCAGAGAGAGGGACAGAGAGAGAGAGAGAGCACAAGCAGGGGGAGCAGCAAAGGGAGAGAGAGAAGCTGACTCCCCGCTGAGCAGGGAGCCCGATGCGGGGCTCCATCCCAGGACCCTGGATCATGACCTGAGCCCTAAGGCAGATACTTAACAACTGAGCCATCCAGGTGTCCCCATGAGTGGCAATTTATAATCATTTTGGGGGGACTCTCCCTTTGTTTACCCCTCCTTCTATGTCAAACTGTCTTAATCATTAAATCCTATCTATTTTGTTCATCTTCATGAAGGGTTGTTTTGGCACTTTGCTCTTCCCTATAAATTTTAACATTCATGAGTCAAGTTCCACAAAAGAGAATTCTTGAATTTTTCTTGGCATTGCATTGCAAAGCTATATCGGTTGTGTGTGGGTGGAGAGGCTGATATCTTTGTGACACAGAGATTCACTATTCATGATTCATGTATCTTTTTCAATCAATTTCCTTATTTAATGTTTTCAGACAGTTTTCTAATTTTCTCCATTGAAGATCTTGTACATCTTATGTGGACTAATTTTTTTCATTTTTTTTAAAGACTTACTTATTTAGTTTAGAGAGGGGGGAGGGACAGAGGGAGAGAATCTCAAGCAGACTCCCCGTTGAGCATAGAGCCCAATGTGGGGCTTGATCTCATGACCCTGAGATCATGACCTGAGCCAAAATCAAGAGTTGGACACTTAACCGACTGAGCCACCCAGGCGCTCCATGTGAATTTCTTTTTAAATAACTTTATAATTTTTTATTATTTAGATGGGGTGTTTTTAAATATGTGTTTGTCCTTTTGTAACTAGTACAGAGAAAGGGAATTCATTCCAGCAACCTTGATAAATCTTTGAAGTTTTAATGATTTTTCAGTAAATTATTTTAGGCTTCCTATTTAGCAAACAATAGTCTATGAATAATGACAGTTTCATTTCATTCTTTCCAATCCTCAGATCTTTCTTTTCCTTGCCTTTTTGCACTATCCAGGATCTACGTATAATAATGAGCGGAGTAGTAGTATATGGTTCCTTAAAGGTAATGCTTTCGGAGTTTCACCATCAAATGTGATATGTTCACTGCAGCTGGCTTATTTCAGTGGATATATATATTTTAGTATGTTAAGGAGGTTTCTTCCTATTTGTAGTTTGGCAAAATTTGTTTCTGTGAATGGATGTAGAATTTCGTCAAAAGCTTTTTTATCCTCTATTGGGATGATCATACTGTTTCTCCTTTAATCTTTTTATTTTTTAGATTTTGTTTATTTGAGAGAGGGGGCAACTCAGGCACTATC